AGTGAGACATTTATAGTGTTCTAATACAGTGAGGCCATAGACTCTTCATTTCAAATGGTATTCCATTCAAATGCTTGTCAGGCAATGATATTTTGCAAAGTGCAGAGAGCCATAAGTCCATTACAATAATCGATTTCGACATCACTTTTCCACTGTTGTTGGTGTAAATAATTGTCTAAATTGCAGGTTATACATTATCTCTCTTGTTCTCTTGGTCTCTCACAAACACAGTATCTTCCCCGTCTCCCATTCCTTCTCTCTGTCCCCCTCTCTCTCTATTTATCTTAACTCATAAGAGTCTAAGCCCTGTCTAACCCGGGGGGGAGAGGGGGGGGGAAGGTCATACCAAGGACCATTTTGCTATTTGATTTAGAATTTTTACATATTTGATATTTTATTTGATGAAAAATTATTCTGTCACCTTTCACCACAGATGCGGAAGTGTTATGTAGGTGGATGAGGTGGATTGAGACGCATCCAATGCAAAAAAACAGATATTGTAGCTTAAACTGACAGATTTTTATGGGGATTTATTTATTGTGCTAATTATATTTCTGCGGGGGCGCGGACATCAACCTTAGGTTAAGAAAGAATTGCCCCTATCAGTACAGACAAGTCTTTTGTCTAAGCCTACTGTAAATGTCAATGTTTGCTTACATTCTGCGGGTGTTAATGCCATGTCTAGACTATGGAGGACTGTTTTTGTCAGCTGAAAGTTTATGGAAAGTGTTTGCCTTTCCACTGAAATAGATTTTTGTTGATACCACGCCCACATTAAAAAATACTATAGTTAAAAAGCTGTAGTGTTTTTGTGGACTGTAGTTTTTTTGCAGACTGTGGTATAATGTATTTTTTCCTACAGTGTTACTGTAGTTAAAAAACTGTAGTATATATTGTAGTTACCTGTAGTGTTTTGCGGGCTGTATTATACTGTAGTATTTTTGCGGATATTGTACTGTAGTATTTACTATAGTGTTTTGTTTTATCTTTTACATAGAAGTGGGGGCTTTCACCTTGAGGAAACTTACTGGACAAATACTAAAAGAGCAAATTTTCCATAACCTGTAGGTAGCTACGTAGTTATGTAGGCAGGTAGGTAGGTAGGTATGACTGGGGTCTGAACGAATAGTGCTTCTGCTCTTTTCTATGACCTGTAGGGAAGACAATATATGGTCTATACTTGTCATGTAGGTTTTTCATTTATGGGTTGTACAAATTGGGATATGTGGAGGGGAATGGGCAGGGTATATGTAAATTAAATACTGTAGTATTACTATAGTTAAACTGTAGTGTTTTTCCGGACTGTAGGATACTGTAGTATTTACCACACATGGCTGTATTCTACAGTATACTACAGTTTACTACATTATTCTATAGTAAACTGTAATATATTTGCATGTGGAACTGCAGTCAAACTCATACACAAACTCATACGGAGGATATTATGCAAGAAAGAAAACAGAATGGCCCAATTTCAAGAAAATGTTATGAATGGTCTAGACCCTTCATGTTTCATAACGAGAAGTGTGAAGCCATTTAGGTTACACATTTACTGTGCATCGGTATACTTTGTGTTCTGCATGTTTCTGTGTGTCTCTGTGAGTGTGTGTGTGCATGCATGCACTGTGTGTGTGTCTCCAACATTGTGACCTTCCATTTTTTTATCTTTGCTATGGTGTGGATTGAGGCCTATACATTCATATCAGTTGTGTTCCTCCATTGTATTCATCTTTCCTTATTTCTATTGTGGATAGTGTTTCTGTGCACCAATGGAACGTCTACAAAGCTGTGAGCAAACCAGCCTATGTATTGAATACATGGATTTGGATTGTGATGATATTGATTAATGAATACTGCACAAAATGTGCTTATTTTTATTCTTATTTTTATGTATTTATAATTTTTACATTTACATTTAAGTCATTTAGCAGACGCTCTTATCCAGAGCGACTTACAAATTGGTGCATTCAACTTAGGATACTAAAGATAGCCAGTGGGACAACCACCCAATGTTTTTTATATTTGTTTATTTTCTTTAATTTAATTTAATTTAATTTAATTTAATTTAATTTAATTTAATTATTTAATTATTTAATTATTTATTTATTTTATTTATTTTATTTATTTTATTTATTTTATTTATTTTATTTAAATGTATTATTTTTTATTTTTTTTATGGTGGGGTGTTATACTATTCCAGGTATTCCTTGAAGAGGTAGGGTTTCAAGTGTCTCCGGAAGGTGGTCAATGACTCCGCTGTCCTGGCATCGTGGGGGAGCTTGTTCCACCATTGGGGTACCAGAGCAGCGAATAGCTTTGACTGGGCTGAGCGGGAACTGTGCTTCCGTAGAGGTAGGGGGGCTAGCAGGCCAGAGGTGGATGAACGGAGTGCCCTCGTTTGGGTGTAGGGACTGATCAGAGCCTGAAGGTAAGGAGGTGCCGTTCCCCTCACAGCTCCGTAGGCAAGCACCATGGTTTTGTAGTATATGCGAGTTTCAACTGGAAGCCAGTGGAGTGTGCGGAGGAGGAGCGGGGTGACAGGAAAAAAATTTGATTTGATGTTAATGAAATTGTTTGGTGAAATATGCAGAGTGCAGTAAATCAAATCAATCAAATCAAATTGTATTGGTCACATGCGCCGAATACAACAGGTGCAGACATCACAGTGAAATGCTTACTTACAGCCCTTAACTAACAGTGCATTTATTTTGAACAAAAAAAGTAAAATCAAAACAACAACAAAAAAAGTGTTGAGAAAAAAAAGAGCAGAAGTAAAATAAAATAACAGTAGGGAGGCTATATATACAGGGGGGTACCGTTGCAGAGTCAATGCTTGCCGTGCGGTAGCAGGGAGAACAGTCTATGACTAGGGTGGCTGGAGTCTTTGACAATTTTATGCAGGAGAGTAATTGCCCATAATTCTGCACCTTTGGATGGTTCTACTTCCAATTCTGATCATCATGATTTAGTGACTGCAAAGAAAATCTATTGATCTACTTGGATTTTTAAAAGACAAACTAACTTTCTGTTTTGCCTGCTTGGACTCAAGAGATAAGTATGATTGCATTAATCTTTCTGCAGGTAGTCATGTTCATTTGATGAATGCATTTGCAATTTTGACGGTTTAATATAGTTTTGATGAATGTATTTATGTTTTCAAAACCCATTTACTGTTTTGCAAAAGGCCACAGAGTCTATGTCTTGTGGACTCTTTTTTGAAAATCAACAGCATTGTTCCAAAAAATGCTTGTATGCGATAAAGAAAAACGGTATTATGGCCGGCCCCACAGTGCATATCTCTGTTGCTGCAGTTATGCATGGGGACTGCATTTTCTTTGGTGATTGAGTTGCAGGATAGATATGTTTACAGATCCTTTGCATACCTGTCACATAGCTCCCTCCTCTTCATCAGGTCTCATTGCTGTGTAGTGCTACTGTTGCTGAGGCATTTGCCCAGGCCCGCTTCACCATTACTAGGTATGAAGTGACCATAGTCGGTTCTCAATGAAGGTCTACTGATATCTTTCATGGCTCACTCCTGATTTACTGTGCATATTCTCATCCAGTTTCTCTAAAGTACAGTCAATCTTTCCTTATATTCAGACTATGGTCAATTCCTGATCTTGTGAGAAAAGTACTGGATGTTTGGCCTGTGCTGGCTGGGCTGGCTGCCTGCTGTGGACGTTACCTGCCTAGTGCCTCGTGTAATCTGATTGGAGTTCAGATAGCACAGTATAATCGCATCAACTGGGAGCTCTCGTAGCTCCCCTATGCCAGTGTCATCCATCCTTAATGATTGTATTGGATCAATCAGCACTGTGCAAGCCAGGTTTCATGTTTCTGTAATGGGAACACTAGCTACAGTACATTACTTGGGTTAGGGAGGTGTAGAGGGAGGGCAGCTAATGGGAACAACAGAACTGTCACTGGTTGTAAAACAAGAGACTGTCTCCATTCAGCCAATTAGAACATAATCGAACAAGAACATGGACATTTTCAGTAGTCTGGACATTTGCAGTACCTTGGCCAAGTCCAGGCTAATTGTAGAGCCCAAATGTGATGTGGCCTCCAAAGAAGTACTAAGGATTACTCAACATGGTTTATAAAACAGTGCTTTGTCTGGTGGTCATTTCCTAATATTTAATGTTAGATTGATTTTAAATGCACATTTTGAGCAGCCTAAAGGTCAGCTTTGACCCCTGTATACTAGCTCCAAGCTGGGTACTCAAAAGGCCTGCAGATAGCTTGATGCTTAGCTGAAGTCTAACGCTGGTGGAATGTTCTGGTGACCTTCCAGAACAAACAACACCACACTGCATCAGAAGCAAGTACATTCATTAACATTTCTCCTTCACATGATGTGCAATGGAATTACCATCATGAAAGAAAACAAATATTAAATAAAGTGAAGGACGACCTTTGACGATATTTCAAACATGTACTGTATATGAGACACCATTGGTTCAGTTTTCTAGTCTAAGAGATATGTGAAGTTTCATAAAAAATGAATAAAAAAATTACATTATATATTTGCATAATGAGATACTTTTCACATGGGTCAATGCAAAGGATGTTATGTTATCCAACACAGCCTTTACCTCCTACCACTTAACATCATGCACTATTATGTTGAAATATCATCATCGGGGAGCCCATTATAGCATAGCCCAATGGCCGTTGTTTTGTTTTTTTGTTCACCAGGGCAGCTTCAAAGAGGACATCTTCTGCGAAATTGTGAAAAAAGAGATGGCTGCAATACAGCATCCCCCTGCAGTGTAACCCCTTCAGAAGCCATTCATCTGATGGATACTGACAGCTGAATTGACAGGACCCTGTCATTATACCAAGTCTTCAACAAAGCTTGTTAAGAAGAGGGTTGGATTCTATGCATTAGCCCTGTCTGTAGTCCTGCCTGCAGGAGCAGAAAAGCTGACAGAAGCAGTAGGACTGATGTGGAGGCAGGGCTGGACCTTGTGACCTAGTGCAGTGAGAAGGACACCATGATCTCCACCGTACTCAGTTGGCTGTTTCTGGTGTCCTTCATCGTGCTGACTATCGGCGGGAATGTGCTGGTGTGTTTGGCTGTGGGGCTCAGCCGCCGTCTGCGCCGCATTGCTAACTGCTTTATTGTGTCGCTAGCCGTGACGGATCTGTTGCTGGGCCTGCTGGTGTTGCCCCTCTCTGCCACCCTGGAGTTGCGGAGTGGACACTGGCCCCTGGGAGGCACCCTATGTAACGTCTATGTGTCTCTGGATGTGATGCTCTGTACGGCCTCCATCCTGACCCTGCTGGCCATCAGTGTGGTCCGTTACCTGGCCATCTCAGCCCCACTCTGCTACCCCCGCAGGGTCACCCCTCCCCGAGTAGCCCTGGCCATCACCACTATCTGGGTCACTTCCCTGGCCATGTCCTTCCTCCCCATCCACCTGGGCTGGAACACGGCTGACTTCAGGGTGCAGAACCTGGACTGGGGCATTTGGGATGAGGTGGAGGAGGGACGCACCTGCCGCTTTGAGTGGCATAACAACTACGTGCTCCTAGATGCCTTTGGCACCTTCTACCTCCCGCTACTGGTCATGTGCGGGATGTACCACCGCGTCTTTCAGATAGCACGCAAACAGGTTAGTAATTTATTCATTATATTTATTTGTTGTGCGGTAGTATCATTACCAGTGATAGTAGTGATAATAGTAATTATGGCTGGAGCAGCAATAGTAGTACTGGAATAATTAGTAGTAGCTATTATAGTTACATCAATTTATTAATGTCATCCATTCAGTCGTCCATCTGCTGACCCTCTTTCTCTTTAACCTGTCTTTATCCATCCATTCAGGTACGGCGTATCCGAGCTGCCACTCCTTCATTTGCCCCCACAGCATCAGCGGCGGCCACAGTGCGGGAGCACAAGGCTACAGTGACTCTAGCAGCAGTTCTGGGGGCCTTCATTATCTGCTGGTTCCCCTATTACACCTTCTTTGCCTGCATGGGCATCGGAGCAGAGACTAACCCCCCTACTACTGCCCACTCTGTGGTGCTGTGGCTGGGCTACTTTAACTCCGCTGTCAACCCCATCCTGTACCCGGCCCTGAACCGGGACTTCCGCAGGGCGTATGGGGAGCTGATGTGCTGCAGGGGGCCGTGGTGGAGACGCATGTCCACAACTATCCGCGTGTCCTTGCAGAAACGAGTGCCCCTCTCTAGCGAACACATAGACACTCATCTGACCAATGGCCACACAGACACCCTCCCTAAAGACAATCAGCCGGAGGGAAAGAGCCTCACCCTGCAGAAGACCAACGGCAGCACCATTGCTGACCAGACCAGGTAAAATACAATACATAGTACAGGACATTACACAACAGTAACACACTGGATAGGGACTAGGTAACACATACAGGACACTTTATAAAGGTACACGTCAGACAATACACAGTGTTATGTTCTTATGATGTCACAAACAAGAGATCCTCCCTGTCTGTCTACCTGGTGTCTCCCTGGTGACAGGTGAGACACATAACAAAGGTGAGACAAACAGACCATGCAGGTCAGTCACACTGATACATACAGTGGATACATACAGTGGGGAGAACAAGTATTTAATACACTGTCGATTTTGCAGGTTTTCCTACTTACAAAGCATGTAGAGGTCTGTAATTTTTATCATAGGTACACTTCAACTGTGAGAGACGGAATCCAGAAAATCACATTGTATGATTTTTAAGTAATTAATTTGCATTTTATTGCATGACATAAGTATTTGATACATCAGAGAAGCAGAACTTAATATTTGGTACAGAAACCTTTGTTTGCAATTACAGAGATCATACGTTTCCTGTAGGTCTTGACCAGGTTTGCACACACTGCAGCAGGTATTTTGGCCCACTCCTCCATACAGACCTTCTCCAGATCTTTCAGGTTTCGGGGCTGTCGCTGGGCAATACGGACATTCAGCTCCCTCCAAAGATTTTCTATTGGATTCAGGTCTGGAGACTGGCTAGGCCACTCCAGGACCTTGAGATGCTTCTTACGGAGCCACTCCTTAGTTGCCCTGGCTGTGTGTTTCGGGTCGTTGTCATGCTGGAAGACCCAGCCACGACCCATCTTCAATGCACGACCCATCCATCCTCCCCTCAATATGATGCAGTCGTCCTGTCCCCTTTGCAGAAAAGCATCCCCAAAGAATGATGTTTCCACCTCCATGCTTCACGGTTGGGATGGTGTTCTTGGGGTTGTACTCATCCTTCTTCTTCCTCCAAACACGGCGAGTGGAGTTTAGACCAAAAAGCTCTATTTTTGTCTCATCAGACCACATGACCTTCTCCTATTCCTCCTCTGGATCATCCAGATGGTCATTGGCAAACTTCAGACAGGCCTGGACATGCGCTGGCTTGAGCAGGGGGACCTTGCGTGCGCTGCAGGATTTTAATCCATGACGGCGTAGTGTGTTACTAATGGTTTTCTTCGAGACTGTGGTCCCAGCTCTCTTCAGGTCATTGACCAGGTCCTGCTGTGTAGTTCTGGGCTGATCCCTCACCTTCCTCATGATCATTGATGCCCCACGAGGTGAGATCTTGCATGGAGCCCCAGACCGAGGGTGATTGACCGTCATCTTGAACTTCTTCCATTTTCTAATAATTGCGCCAACAGTTGTTGCCTTCTCACCAAGCTGCTTGCCTATTGTCCTGTAGCCCATCCCAGCCTTGTGCAGGTCTACAATTTTATCCCTGATGTCCTTACACAGCTCTCTGGTCTTGGCCATTGTGGAGAGGTTGGAGTCTGTTTGATTGAGTGTGTGGACAGGTGTCTTTTATACAGGTAACGAGTTCAAACAGGTGCAGTTAATACAGGTAATGAGTGGAGAACAGGAGGACTTCTTAAAGAAAAAACAGGTCTGTGAGAGCCGGAATACTTACTGGTTGGTAGGTGATCAAATACTTATGTCATGCAATAAAATGCAAATTAATTACTTAAAAATCATACAATGTGATTTTCTGGATTTTTGTTTTAGATTCCGTCTCTCACAGTTGAAGTGTACCTATGATAAAAGTTACAGACCTCTACATGCTTTGTAAGTAGGAAAACCTGCAAAATCGGCAGTGTATCAAATACTTGCTCTCCCCACTGTATATATATATATATATATATATATATAAAAAGGAATACATAAACAAATCTCCACTAGACAAAAGTGAAGGAGAGAGACAGTTGTGCAGTAGCTAGTACAGTATGATATAAAATGGTTGATACGTTATCTACCACCTGCTTATAAAACAAAGGAGAACAAACCTATACAAAGAAGATAAAGAGAACATAGCCAAGTCAATATTAACCGTCTAAATAGCTCAGTGTCCAGGCTGATCATTTCCCCAGCTAACTGATGGAGACATAGGCAGTTAAAGGTTTCTAGAGGGTGGTGCTCCTCTCTGTTGCAGACCCACTGGTGGTGAATCAGTGACTTGCCTGGCTGGATTTACTTGAATGTGTATGTGTGTGTTCATCCCTAAAAGGTACAGAATGTCCAATCAGGGTTACAGTATGTTGGATGGCTTCCAGAAGGTTGGCGGAGGGGAAACAAGGACATCTGGAAGTGTCATCCAGGTATCCCGGCTCCATATGGGATACCTGTCCACCTTTAGATAATGTACCCCTGCATCAACAGCCAGGCTAAAGAGTTCCACTGGGCATAGGTTCCCTCACGTCATTGGTTTCCAAACCTTTTGGTGTCGTGACATCTTCCTGTGGCCTTCATGATTCCTGTGGCCCTCATGAACTGGTTGGTGTTGTGACATCTTCCTGTGGCCCTTCCTGTGGCCTGCCACAGCCGACAGCCCTATCTGTGACCCAGTAGAAATAACTGACCTACTGTTTGACAACTACCAGACCACATCAACCCAACAACCCCCACGTTCACATGTGCTGCCAAGATACACTCACCTGTGCTGCCAAAATATGGCATGGGACATTCACACCACTATGTACTTTGTCTGCAATGACTTCTATGAATGGCATGTCCCTGCCCTCTAGTGACCAAATGTGTCATCACACTCACCCTCACAAGAAGAGGTGACACAAAATCAATACCAGTATCTGTTTGTTCAAATCATTGTTAATGACATCATATGTTTATCTATCATGTATTATACATGTGCATACTACAAATTATAATTACCTAATATGTCCTGGTTATTGTTGAACTGCCAAGCAAGAAATACAATTCAAATCTGAAAATATAATTTAAAAGTCACTTGCCAATATATTTTCATTAAGCACTGTCAGGCATGATACAGTACAGTACCTGCATTTACCAGATAACATCATTTATAATGTGGAGAAACAACAAACAATTATCCACTCTCACATTCTGAGCCCTTCCAGCTCCCGGCCAATCAAACCCTGCTTCTGGAAACTCTTTTTTCTCTTGCTCTCAGTGATGAACCACTTCACAACTGAAGACAGACAGCAATCATATCCTCAATATCATACACAACAGTTTTTGACATTATCCCTTTATGTGAGGATATTGTTTCTTCTTGTTATGTTTTTTTAATCTGTAGTAGTAGTGACCTACCGTTGGGATTACTGACGGTCAAGACAGCTGATGACCTCCAGGGAGAAGTTGTCTTCCTCCAGACCAGAGATGGCCTCCACCAGCAAGCTGAGCTCTAAGGACACTCCTCAGCTCCACCCTCATCTCCAGGCCCACTCTCAGAGTTTCGGGACATCCTGTGCTCCATCTGACACATCTGGGATTAAACACACTAGATATTGATATCCAATAATCAGATTCATAATTTTAAAGTTCTCTGACTTCATTTGCTTATGACAAATTTGCGAGGAGATATTGCCTGATAAGCCTGCATTTTGCAACACTGTTTTATGATATACCAACAGGGATTATTATTATAAAGGTTATAAAACAACACATTAAATATTAGTCTTAGGTCAAGGGAATGTATTACAACAAGCCTTATCAGTTATGTCTTATAACCACAGAAGCAAGAAAATAGCATTGAACAAATAGCAGAGGGGTGTTACCTGACAATTCATTACTTGTAGCACCAAGCTGGAAAACATGAAAAAAACTAATAACAAAAAACAATGATTTGTTACATCCATCTGTAAATCAATTTGAATTCACTTTTTGACAGCACCGCTTTTGATTTGAACAAAACCTTCCATTGTAGAAGTATGCAGAAAGTGACTTTTTGGACCTGAATGCCAAAACATTTAAGAGATAAAGGTGCTCGATGTTGATCTATTTTGCATATCCCACCATACCATGAGACGTCCATGTCTTCATCACTGGAAAATATAAACGGTTGAGATTGATATCATCTAAAAACGGTCAAACTATTTAATAATTTCTTTAAAAAATATATATTTTTTTAAATATCATTTTTTTACGTTAAATGTCAGTCATCGAAAAACTCGTAAACTTCGATTTTTTTCATATTTGTATATATTGTAGTTTAGACCCTATTTTACATCATCTGATGTTTTTGTGTTGTGCCTGCCATCGGTTGAGACACAGCATGCTCTTTCTATGATTTCAATATGTTACTGGCCCAACGCTCTTAACCGCTAGGCTACCTGCTTACAACAAGAGATGGTAGGCCTAGTCTGTTACAACATTCCTAACTTGATCTGGGCGCAGCAATAAATTGTCAACTCATAAACAATTAGGCTGTCACGCCCTGGCTCTAGGGACTCTTTTAAGTTGAGCCAGGGTGTGTAGAGTTTATGTTTTGTGCTCGTTGTGTCTAGTCTAGTGTTTGTATATCTATGTTGGCCAGAGTGGTTCTCAATCAGAGGCAACGAGTATCAGCTGTTGCTGGTTGTCTCTGATTGGGAACCATATTTAGTCAGGTGGTTTTCCCACAGTGTTTGTGGGATCTTGTTCCGTACCTGTGGACGTCACGTATCGATTTGTTGTTTTGGTCGTGTATCATTTAATAAATAAATAAGTATGTTCACCTTCCACGCTGCGCCTTGGTCCTCTATATCCGACGATCGTGACAGAAGATCCCACCAATACAGGACCAAGCAGCGTGCCCAGGCAGGAGAGGAGAAGCGGCGCCAACCGGGCAGTCGTCGGACAGGCGAGGGGCACCCCCAAGAAATGTTTAGGGGGGGGCACATGGCAGGGACGACGGGGCCACTGGAGGCAGATAAGGGGCGAGTTGGTGGACGAGGAGAGAAGGCCACCGGGTTACGGGAGCCATTGGTGTATAGAGGGAAGGAAAATGTAGAGGCACGGCGAGAGGTATTGAAGTGTGTTGCCAGTCCGGTCCGGCCCGTTCCTGATCCCCGTGTAAGGCCAGTGGTGTGTGTTCCCAGTACGGTCCGGCCTGTTCCTGTCCATCGCGCCAAGCCTATGGTGCGCGTCGCCAGCCCGGCCCGGCCTGTTCCTGCCCCTCGCACCAAGCCTATGGTGCGCGTCGCCAGCCCGGCCCGGCCTGTTCCTGCTCCCCGCACCAAGCCAATGGTGCGCGTCGCCAGCCCGGCCCGGCCCGTCCTGCTCCCCGCACCAAACCTGTGGTGCGCATCGCCAGCCCGGCCCGGCCTGTTCCTGCTCTCCGCACCGAGCTAGTGGTGCGCGTCGCCAGCCCGGCCCAGCCTGTTCCTGCTCCCCGCACCAAGTCAATGGTGCGCGTCGCCAGCCTGGTCCGGCCTGTTCCTGCTCCCCGCACCAAACCTGTGGTGCGCATCGCCAGCCCGTGCCCGTTTCACCGGTGCCTGGTCAGGTACCGGTCAGCTGCTCCACACCGGAGCCTGAGCAATCCGCTCCACCGAAGTCCAGTGCAGCTCCAGCCAGGGGGGCTAGACCAGACCAGGGGCACTACGGGGGGGTTAGTAAAGGGTGGTGGTCAAGCCCGGAGCCGGAACCGCCTCCGAGGAGGAATGCCCACCCAGCCCTCCCCTGTTCGGTGATGTTTAGGCGCGGTCGCAGTCCGCGCCTTTAGGGAGGGGGTACTGTCACGCCCTGGCTCTAGGGACTCTTTTAAGTTGAGCCAGGGTGTGTAGAGTTTATGTGTTGTGCTCGTTGTGTCTAGTCTAGTTTTTGTATATCTATGTTGGCCAGAGTGGTTCTCAATCAGAGGCAACGAGTATCAGCTGTTGCTGGTTGTCTCTGATTGGGAACCATATTTAGTCAGGTGGTTTCCCCACAGTGTTTGTGGGATCTTGTTCCGTGTTGGTTTGTGTTTTGCACCTGTGGACGTCCCGTATCAATTTGTTGTTTTGTTCGTGTATCATTTAATAAATAAGTATGTCCACCTTCCACGCTGCGCCTTGGTCCTCTATATCCGACGATCGTGACATAGGCCTAATCTGTGTTTCAGTCTGATCAACTGTAGCCTACTGATAACAACCACAGCAGTAGGTAGCCTAGAGAAGCCTGTGTACTCTGATCCCATCTGGGCCAGGGGTAACGTAACGTCATGTTTTATAGCCTAAAATAGGCCCATTTATTTGTGTTCTGAGAAAATGTGAATGTGATCAAAGGTTTATATTCACAATTCAGGTGGCTAGGCTACCAATACCTTTTTAATCCAGAATTATTGACTGGAATTAATTAATCAATCAACACAATAGTGATGACATACTGTGTGAGTATCTTTTAAATTACAGATCCAAAGGCCTACATGATGCAACCCTGCATACAAAGAGCTCAGCCCTGTAAGTTCTATTGTCCAATCTCAGTTGTTTTTTTCAACCATATAACCTGATTAGAAAAAATATAGGGTCTGGAGTTTTACCTGGTTAGGTTGGCCTACCATATCAGGAAAAACTCAGGTCCCCAGGAAAACAATTCCCCCCCCGCCCACCACTCTGGGATGCCACCTCTGAAATCACGACACAATGTTACTAATGAAGAAATATATCCTACATATCCTATAGGTACGGTCTACTATCTTGACATTTTGGTGGCAGGAATGGGATTCCATAGGTATGTGCTCTCAGGGGGATACATATGGACAGGACCTTACAGGAAGGACACATTTCCCCAGCAGGTGGCACTCTGTCTCAGATAACTTTACTCCCATGTTTTATTCCAAAATAACTGCATCAAGCCTATGCCTCATTAGGAAAACATTTGGATCAGTTAGCCCTATGGGTCTACTTTCGATTGTTTACAAGGCCTGGCAAGGCACATTAGCAGGGCAGTCATAGGGTGTATTTTGTTGGGATGTATCGGCATTAACAGATGCCATTGGAATTATGGGCTTCTCCTGATGCTGCGATGCACTGCCTGTCGTGGTCTTGTGGATCATCCCGATTGACAGAAAAATAAGTTTCATGGCCACAAATTTCTCTGGCCCAGCCAATATTGGAATCCTGGTGCCGCCAGTGGATGGCTGCAGCTGCTGCTGAGAGAGAGCCTTAGTAAAAGGTGCGCACACAAGCCCGAAACCCGCCCTGCCCGAATCAATTCTCAGATTTTGAGGCCCAGCCCGGTATAAGCCTCGAGCGGAAGAGGAAGGAAAGATAACAGAGAAATATATATTTTTTAGGCCCCCTGATGATGTGAGGCCCCAGGCAATTGCCTGTTTTGCATAATGGTAAGTCCGCCACTGCTGGCGGTAAACAGTCTATCCAGTCATTGGTCTAGGACTACCTGATGACATGCAGAGGGGAACATGACACAGGGTAGAGAGAGACAGCAAGGGCAGGCTTGGGCTAAGACTGGGGCCTGGGGCTGTCTGTTGCTGCTCAGGAAACTTGACAGATACACTGACAGACTGCTTTATGTACACTACCAGTCAAAAGTTTGGACACACCTACTCATTCAAGGGTTTTTCTTTATGTTTTACAATTTTTTACATTGTAGAATAATAGTGAAGACATCAAAACTATGAAATAACACATATGGAATCATGTAGTAACCAAAAAAGTGTTAAACGAATCAAAATAAATGTTATATTTATGTATGCGCACATGACTGTAAATCGCTTTGGATTAAAGCGTCTGCTAAATGGCATATTATTATATTTGAGATTCTTCAAAAAGCCACCTGTCACGGAATCTGCCGAGGCTGCTCCTCCTCCTTGCTCGGGCAGGTTTCGGCGGTCGTCGTCCCCGGAGTACTAGCTGCCACCGTTGTATGTTTATATGTTCGTTTGCTTTTGTCTGATTGTTGTACACCTGTGGTTAGTTAGCGTTGATTATGTGTCCTATAAGTTCTCGTTTTGTTAGTCATGTGTTGTGTGTTATTGAGCGCCCTGTCTTCGTGTCGGTATTGGTTTTCCCTCCTTGTGTGTTAGGAGAGGTTTTCGCACTTTGTGTGCGCTTATGTATTTTTCCTGTTTGTTTACGCCTGTGTGCGTATCGCTCGTCTCCGGGCACTTTTGCTCGTATTTAATCACTAAAGACTGTTGTACGAAGCTTCTGTGTCCTGCGCCTGATTCCCGCACCTTCCACATACAGCACACCTTGACACCACCCTTTGCCTTGATGAGAGCTTTGCACACTCTTGGCATTATATGTTATACTTGTGTCTACATTCAACTGGTAAAGGTTACTTTTAGGGTGTGATGCCAGGCCTTTTATACTATTCAGGCTACCTGTAATTTTGCAATCAAGGTACTATGCCATCTGCTGACATTTTGAAACATTCCAAATGACAAAAAAAATGTGTTATGATAGATTTTTTGTCAAGAAATCTT